CGCAAGCTGCTGAGGAGGAGGGCAGCTTCTCATCCTCAGCTCACCGGGCGCAGTGGTGGACCCGAAGGGAGGAGCGGGGCTGGCTGGGCAGCCAGAACAGCCGCTTGGGGTCCCCCTGCCTTGGCACCAAGGGCAGCGGCAGAGAGGGCAAGTCCAGGCAGGAGTTGGTAGATTAACTCCCCCCTGGCAGGGGACCCGAACCTAGAATTACGGGCAAAAGGAGTAATTGCAGTGGCCAATGGCAACAATGGCTTCTCCTGGCGCCTGGCCTGGGCTGGGCTGCAGAGCTGCTCAGGTCCCCACAAGCTCCCGGGCTCCGCTCACTAGCCCAGGAACAAGGGCAGCAACAGGAGAGGCCTCCTTGCCCCTGGCACCAGGCACCTGGCTCCTGAGCGGCCTTCGGGAGCCTGGAGCCTGGCCCTGCGCTGTCATTACCCTGCAGGGTGGTAGCCTTGGGCAAGTCCCTTCCACTCCGGGCCTTGTCAGGTGAGGGGATTGGACTAGATGATCTGGACTATTTTCCAGCTTGAATATTTAATATAACTTTAATATTATTTAATAGTTAATATATTTTAAAATACTTAATATAAATTTAATATTATATTAAGTATGAATGTTTCATATTGTAAATGGAGAAGTCCTGAGTCCAACAGACGTGAGATGAGTCCCGGCTTCCTCCTTACCATTTGTGTAACTTCTCTGCTCTGGGTTTCTCCATCTTTAAAATGGAGTCAATAGCAAATAGTTCCTTCACAGCGTTACTGTGAGGTTTAAATCAGATAATGGTTGCTGACACTTAGTGCTTACTAGGTACCACGTACTGTCCTAAGTGCTTTGCACGGATGAGGGTGCTTAATCTCCCCACGAAACCCTCCAAGGCAGGTCTTATTAGTCCATCGCCAAGTGCATATACTGACTGTTTCAGAGCAAGGGTTTCGAACCCAGGCTGTCCAAAGTTCCTGCTGCATCACGTTAACCACCCCCCAGCACAGATAGGAGGCATAATAAATCCTCAGTAGATACTAGAAGGCAGAGGGAGGCAGAATCCCATGCTTGTTGATATACTTCCATGGAAACACTATTGAGCTCCCCACTGAACAGACAGGGACACCAAGCCCAAAAGGATAAAGTGACGTGTCTTGGGCCACCGCCAAAATGGTGACAGTGCGAAACCCAAGTATCCCGGCTCAGAGCTCCCCTAAGTATTTGAAACTGGAGTGGATCTCGAGTTACACATGCAAATCTGCTGGCAGATCAGTGGCCCCAACCCAGGCTGATCTCAGAACTTATCACTTGGCTGATTAACATCTGAATATCAGGGTAGTGCTTCTGGAAATGCCTTTGTCTTCCTCTGTGTACAGTCCCTGAATTTCATCTAGGTAGAATCCTTCGTTGTTAGGTCTTGCATTTAATAAGAACTGTCTGCCCAGGGCACTTCAAAAATCACTCTTGGCTTCTGAGACTCAGTTCAAATATTTCTTGAGTGTTTACTGTGGGTAGAACATGTACTAGGCACAGGACTACACAGAGATGAAGGAGCTACCTCCCTACCCTGCCCTCCAGGAGTTCCCAGTTCAATCAGACAGATAAAAGAAAATCCCTTGCTCAAGAATAATTGCTTAAAGATGGACAAAAATGATAAAAGCCAGTGTTGGTGATGGTGCAGAGAACAGTCACTCTCCTTCCCTGCTGGTGGGAAAGGAACTTGGTACAGCCTTTCTGGAGGGCAGTTTGGTAACAGGTATCAAAAGTCCTAAAATCGTGCCTACCCTAAAATGCTGCAATTCTATTTCCTGAGATTGGTCCCAAGGAAATAATTGTGGCTGGGTGCAAAGATTTAGCTGTAGTTATATTAATGCAGCATTGATTATAATAATGAAATACAGGAATGTAACAGGAATGTCCATCCTTGGGTGACTGGTAAATGAGACCAGGTCTTCCATACAAAGGTCTTCATAGAATAGTTAATGCTGGAAAGAGATTCACATTGTTGCCTAATGGGAGAAAAAAGGCAGGTAACAAAGAGTATCTATGGAGTGATGTCATTTTTCTGGTAAGAATATGTATTTGCGGGGCACCTGGGTGGTTCAGGTCATGGTCCCAGGTCCTGGGATCGAGCCCCACATCAGGTTCCCTGCTCCGCAGGAAATCTGCTTCTCGCTCTCCCACTCCCCCTGCTTGTGTTCCCTCTCTTGCTGTGTCTCTCTCTGTCAACTAAATAAAATCTTTAAAAAAAAAGAATATGTATTTGCTATGATAAGAGCATGGCATTATTTCAACCCTATAACATAGATCATTTCTTTAAAAAATTATTAAATAAACTTTTTAATAGATGCTGTCTTTAATTTCATTTTACAGTTGAGGAAATGAGGTTCAGACAGTTTAGGAGACTAGCCCACACGTGTACAGCTAGGATTAGAGTGCAGCTCAGACAGCCTGTGCATTTAATCCTGGGGCCAAGGCCTTCCTGTAAGCGGAGAAAAAGGTAGGGAAGAACACGGTGGTTCTCTTTGGATGAAAAATTAGTTATTTATTAAATGTATTATTATTTTATTCTTCATTATACTTATCTGCATTTTCATTGCTTTTCTCTCTCTCTCTCTCTCTCTAACCATGGGTTGTTACTTTATTTCAAATAACACTGGCCTATTGACTCTACAAATCAAGAAGACGGAACACTTGAACTGTCAAGAGGGTTTTTTCCCTGCCATGCTCTCCACCTGCCAGGGGGTGTTTCAGGCTAAGAGCCAGGAAACCCTAAGGTCTAGTCTTCAGAACTACAATGAGGGGAACCTCATCCCCAGCCAGCCCCTCTCACAGGATCCCAAAGGGCAAGGTTCCAGCCAAAGGGGTCCAGTCTTCCCACCAGCCCCGGACCTCTGAGGCCGGGACCTTGCATGCAATTCAAAGGTGGGCACTCGGGTCACTGTGGCCCCATTCCTCACTTCAGAATGAACTAGGCAAGGAGAAGCCCAAAGCAGGTGGCAAGGATTCTTAAAAAAAAAAAAAAAGGTTTCATGTTTTTCCCAAATCAGCTAGGGATCCCCCAGTCACCACCCGCCAGGGAGTTAGCTGACTCTTTCTACTCCCTGAGCTGACTGGCTGCAGTCGTAACTGTTCCTGATTCAAACTATCTGTCACAACTGCTCGTAGAGTGTCCCATCCTGGGCTTCCACCCTCTGAGGAAAGGGAGAGGCTGGAAGCAGGCCAAAGAATTGTTTGAGGGGGGTGGGAGGCGGGGGAGGGCAGGGAATTGAAATCCTACTGAAAACAGCAAAATGATAGCAATAAACTCAACAAACATTTACTGAGAACTTAAACATGCTGAGAGGTTTACGTGCTTTACCTCATTGAATCCTCCCTCAAAACTGGTATTACACCCATCTCAAAGGTGGGAGAACCCAGGCTGAGTGGTATTGAATAATTTGCCCAAGGTAATGTCATGCAGCTGATAAATGGTGCATGCAGTTAGGACTCGACACCCAAGTCCTCCTCTTGATAAGCAGCCCCTTCCGGGACCCATGGGAGCCCGTAAGAGCCTTTACACCCCTCAGAACACACACGCACACACACATTTTCAATTTCTTTTTTTTTTTTTTTAAAGATTTTTTATTTATTTATTTGAGAGAGAGAATGAGATAGAGAGAGCATGAGAGGTGGGAGGGTCAGAGGGAGAAGCAGACTCCCCGCTGAGCAGGGAGCCCGATGTGGGACTCGATCCCGGGGACTCCAGGATCATGACCTGAGCCGAAGGCAGTCGCTTAACCAACTGAGCCACCCAGGCGCCCACACATTTTCAATTTCAAGGAAACTGTTTTCAAGTCCCTTGGCCAGGAAGATCTCACATTTCTTCTGGATTTATGTGATGCCACTTTGGAAATAGTCCAGCTCAATGCCCTTGAGGCACCCTGGGTTTGTCTGCTATTGTCAGTCCTACACGTTTCTGTGACCTTGGGTCTCACTATCTCCATGTAAAAGGGAGACTGATAATAATATACACAGACACATCCGCACACAATCATACACTGACCAGAAAGTTGGAAATATACTATGCTTTTGCCTGTATTATAATGTAATGTAGCTAAACCATTCGCATTTGTTATTCTTATTTGCCTGTTTTCAGACTTAATGGCTACTCTGTTTATCTTGTGGGGGTTTTATATGTGTGTGTGTGTGTGTGCGTATACATATATATGTATAAGCACATGTATATATAATGAAGTGTGTGAGGAATTTAGCATACAGCCTGACACACAGCAGGTGCTTAATACATGAGATCTACTGTTGTTTTCCTTTATTTTTATGAATCTGGCCTCAACTCAATCTCACCAATGTCAGTTCATTGCTTGCTATGTGCGGGCTCCAGGGGGAAGCTCACATGCAGTGGGGGAAGGAAATAGACATGCTCATGAAGACTTCTCCTGGAGGGCGGTCTGTATGAAAGTGATGTGCTGGGGCACCATGCATGGCTCAGTCGTTAAGCATCTGCCTTCGGCTCACATCATGATCCCAGGGTCCTGAGATCGAGTCCCGCATCGGGCTCCCTGCTCAGCCGGAGGTCTGCTTCTCCATCTCCCTCTGCCCCTCCCCCCTGCTTGTGCTCTCTCTCCCTCTCTCTAATAAATAAAATCTAAAAAAAAAAAAAAAGTGATGTACTGCCTGTGTAGACAAAGTGCTTTGAGAAAATAATGGACAAGGGAGTGAATTATTGCCAGGAAGACCTAAGTAGTATGATTTTTATTCTTCGATTAAATGTACAATACAGATAAGTGCACAGATCTTAAATGTACAGTTTGGTGAATTTTGACAAAAGTATACAGTCATGTAACCACCACTGGAATCAAGATAGAGACTATTTCTATTCCCCCAAAAGCCCTTTTGTGCCCGCGCCAGTCAATGCCTACTCCACAAAGGCAACCACAGCTCTGTTTTTGCCATAGTAGACTAGCTTATCTGTTCTTGACCTTCGTATAAATGGAATCATTCATAGTGTCCTTTCATGTCTGGCTTCTTCCACTGAACATGGGTGACAGGTTCTAATCTGCGGACCAGTTTTTCGATCTTCATTCATTCATTCATCCATTCATTCATGCGTGCATGCAGCATTCATTCACAGTCTCCCGACCTTTTGACCAGTCAGGAAGTCTGTTCATTCATTCACTCAAAAACAATTTATCTGTGACCAAGGTCTGGTTTGATTATTCTCCATTCCTGGCTTTGGTCCTCTGGTTATGAAACAAAAATTTGGTAAACACTGTCTGCTGTTGTTTCAAATTCTACTCCCTCTCCTTCCACGATCTAGAAAATCTTTGCTCTGTCCTGGGCATCATCATCAAGTCTTTTTTTTTTTTTTTAAAGATTTTATTTATTTATTTGATAGAGAGACAGCGAGAGAGGGAACACAAGCAGGGGGAGTGGGAGAGGGAGAAGCAGGCTTCCCGCCGAGCAGGGAGCCCGATGCGGGGCTCGATCCCAGGACTCTGGGATCATGACCCAAGCCGAAGGCAGACGCTTAACGACTGAGCCACCCAGGCGCCCCCATCATCAAGTCTTAAGAAAATCTTCATCCCCATCAAGTATATGTTTCTTGAAGACCCTACTGGGCAGGAATCACCTTAGATTATTTTGTGAGATTAGCCCCAAGAAACAGGAAAGGCTTAAATCAATGAAAGCAAGATTAACTGCAAACTTGGATGGAAGGCTGGAGGTAGAATTTCCCAAAGTGTGTTCCACTGTGGATCACTGGTTCTCCTGTCATCACAGGTATGAAGCAGGGACAGGGAAGATGATTATGTGGACACCTCGGTTTGGGAAACCCTGGGTTGAAAAAGCAAAAAAACCCAAACAACAACAACAAAAAACAAGTCTCCTGACTGCTGGACTTTTCAGAGACTTGACTGTGATTGTTCTTTTTTTTTTTAAAGATTTTTATTTATTTATTTATTTGAGAGAGAGAGAGAGAGAGAGAAACAGCATGAGAGGGGAGAAGGTCAGAGGGAGAAGCAGGCTCCCCACTGAGCCCGACGTGGGACTCAATCCCAAGACTCTGGGATCATGACCTGAGCCGAAGGCAGTTGCTTAACTAACTGAGTCACCCAGGCGCCCATGATTGTTCATTTTTAAGAAGAGGGTCTGGTGTGCAGCTTTGCCCAAGCTGTTTGATCCCAGAACTTTTTCTGCCTGGAACAACTTGGGCATTCCTGTGTTGTCCAGGACGCATCTGTGGGATTCCCTGACGTGACTTTAGAGAATTCATAAGTGATTGGGGTCCAGCAGAGGTAATGGAGTAAACTGCCCGGGAAGGTTGAGCCAGAGCAGGGTAGAGCCAGGCGCTGCGAAGAAGAGAGAGCTACTTCCTGAGGAAAGTAGGAGAAAAAGGGGGAAGGGAGTGGGCTTGAGCGGAAAGAAACTTCCCAGCCAGAAGCGGAGCTGGCTCAGGCTGGACTGGGGCCTAGAGAGGATATCCATACTGCAGAATTTCTATGGAAATATTCTCCTCACAACTGGCTGCATCTGGATGCTACATTTGCTGGGTGGAAGGAAAAGGAGGAAAGAGTTCACGGTTACTGGCCATTGGACATGACAGTGACTAGGAAACCGAGTCCCCCATCACCGTCCCTACTGCTAGAACTGCCTGTTTCCCACAGAGGAGAGGCTGAGCTCTGCCCTTTCCTGGCCCGGCTCAGACAAGTCACCTGCACTCGCTGTGCCACAGCTGTCCCAGCTGTTGGGACCAGATGACCAGGTGGGCCTTCCAGAAAAGAGTCTGAGATGTCACAAAAGATGGGCAGATCTGGGTCTCATCACCATCGGGGCAGAGCTTCCCCAACAAGGCTTCCAGCAAGTTTGTCCACGAAGTTGTGGCTGCCAGATGTTCTGGGGTGATTCCAGCCCAGGTGCAAGTCCCAGCTCCACCGGTCACCTTGAGCAAATCACTTTACTTCTCTGGGCCTCAGTGTGCCCACCTGAAAAATGAAAATCGTCATATTTTTTCCTCATGGTGAAACTAATAATTTTTTAAAATAGTAAGATAATGGGTATAAAATATTTGGCACGTGTTGGGCACTAAGGGCTTCCTAGAAAGTGCCTCTGTTTGTTACCACCAATAAATTCCTCCAAAACCCATTGTCTCTGTAAAAGGAAATTTGTACGTTAAAATGGTTAAGTGATGTTTTACTGTAGGGGGGAAAACTGGTAGAACTAGTTGAAACCAATTGCTTTTTATTTTCTGTAAATCCCACCAATCGCATCCCCCTGGGGTCAAACAGGGCATAAGAATAACTCAGTGGGACTCTGCACTAACGGACACTCCTGTGGGGAAGGCCTCTCATTCCCGGGGATGCCAGACGCCTCCTCTATCCCCAGATTTGTCCCCCTGCTGGGGGTGACTCAGACTGCATGAGCGGGGGGGTGGGGGCGGGGACTGTGTCAGAGGTCACTACACCAAAAGAAAGAAGAAAGAAAGAAAGAACGAGAAAGAATGAGAAAGAAAGAAAGAAGAAAGAAAGAAAGAAAAGGAAAGAGAAAGAAAAGAAAAAAAAAAGCCTTCCATTTCCCTGGCGGGGCCGGTTTTATAACAGATCACTACACCCCAGGCTGCAGGGGAAACATCGTTCCCTTGCCATAAACTAATCCATTCTGAGGAAGTGAAGAGTAACTGCTGCCTGAGGCACTGAGGGCAACATTCTGGGGTGTGATGTTTGAGGCTGGCTCTTCATTGTGATGCAGGCTTCGCTTTCTAGCCCTGTGCCTACCCTGGGGTCTCATGGTGGCTCCAGAAAGCCTCTTGGGGTCTTGCAAACAGTTCTTGGGGTTGATAAGCTTCAGTGTAGTCGCTGCTGGATGGTGGGGTGGGGGACGGGGGACTTCTGAAGATGGTGCCAAGTTGCCGGGGCTTGTGAAATGTGATCCTGGCAGATAAAGACATCTGGTACTAATTCTTTCTTCCACTCTGTTTTCTTTTGGGGGGTACCTTCAAAGTCACAGATCACAAATCTTAGCTAAAAAGAACTTGAATGACCTTCAAACCCAAACTTTTCATTTCACAGTTGAAGAAATTGGTTCAGCGAAGGGAGTTAACTTGCCTAAGGTCAACACGGCCAATGAGCGGCAGAACTGGAATTCAACACTTGACCTCTTGACTCTTGGTCCAGTGCTCTCTCCCCCACTGCTTAACAAAAGAATGGGTGACAGCCATGTGCCAGGCACTGTGGTAAGTGCTTCACATGCATTTAATACCCACAACCATCCTATGGAGTCAATACTACTCCTGTTGCCATTTTATAGATGAAGAAAGAGACTCAGAGAAACAAGTTATGAAGCTCAGGGTCACAGCTAACTAAAAGAGTCAGGTTTCAAACCTAGGCCTGGCTAAAGACCTGGAGCTTATAATCATTAACACTAAACTATCTAAGGCACAATAAGTCTTTAAGTTGAGGACCTTAACTTTCCCCAAACTGCCTCACAGGTTTCCGGGAGCCTGGAGAGTGGATGAGAGTGAAACAAAAGCCTCCCAAACTTGTCCTGTCCAGATGGGGCCGAGCGTAAGCTGTCAGTTATCCAAGTGCAACCAAATGAAATACGGTGGCCCTATACTGGGTGATCAATTCCGAGGCCACTGATAGTTTTGAAATATGGCCAAACAGCCAAAGCCACTGGCTAGAGTCAGGTCCCTGTCATCTGCCTTCCGAGTCTCTTCCTCCTGGAGGTGTCCTCAGGGCCCATTAACGGGTAATCCTGGGGGTGTCTGCTCATGACTGGGGAAGGTGTGAATGACAGAGCTCATTGTGAAAGGGGAGAGGGCTGAGGCTGCAGCATCTCTTCAGGGACAGCTGTCAAGGCATGACTCAGATTTCGACAGAGTCTGGGCAGAGAGAACACTCATGCTCACATCCCCTCTGAGGAGAAGGAGCCTGGTGACTAACGTCCATCACCAGGTGCATCTGCCCTGGGCTGAGTGCCGTGGTGGCCACAGCAGAAGAAGAGACAAGACAAGGAACTCACTGTTTCCCTGGGAGGCAAGATGAGCCACCCATAATGACAGCAACAACAGCTGACATTACCAGGACTTAGCGCACGAGAGTGGTGCGAAATGCATGTGTGAAATCATTTAAATCCCTCCAAGGTAGGAGTTATGCCTACATTCAAGATGAAGAAACTGAGACTCAGAGAGATCAAAGTACTTGCCCAAGGTCACCCACATAGGAAATGGTAGAGCCAAGATACAAACTCAAGTAGTTCGGCTCCAGAATCCAAGATCTCAGCTAGAGGTGCCCTACTGCACGCACACGTGTGTGCACATGCGTGTGTTTGGGGCGGGTGCTCTGCGTACAGATTCTACGTCACCTGGAGGGGGAGACTGGAGGTGCAGGGCTTGAGCTTTAGAGACAAACGTCCCGGGTTCGAATCCCAGCATGGTCATTCTAGGGCTGTAGGACCCCGTCAAGTTCCCTGGCCTCTTCGTGCCTCTGGTTCCGCATCTATGAGTTAGCAGTGGTGACTGTATCTAAATCTTTGTGCGGTTGTCAGGATTGAGTGAAACAGGGCAGGGAAAATGTTATCACAGTCTTGGCATATACTTAAGTGCTCAAAAACTAAGAGCTCCTGTGATAATTTTTAATGATTCATATTCACACAGTAGGCCACAGAAGCTCCTCCCCTTCCTACTCCCCACTGCCTGACCACCTGCCACCAAACTGAGGGCCTTAAAAATCTTCCCGGCAGGGGCGTCTGGGTGGCTCAGTTTGTTAAGCATCTGCCTTCGGCTCAGGTCATGATCCCAGGGTCCTGGCATCAAGCCCCGCCTTGGGCTCCCTGCTCAGCAGAGTCTGCTTCTCCCTCTGCCTCTCCTCCTTGCTCTTCCTCTCTCAAATAAAATTTTAAAAAAATCTTTAAAAAAAAAATCTTCCAGGCAGATCAGTCATGGATTCACAAAAATCCAAACCTGAATGTCTGGGGTCCAAGGTCGAGCACTTAACCTGTGACTACATGGCTTCTGCCTTTCTAAGAAGGTTCAGGGCCCAGGAGACCCTGGCAGATCCCTCCCCACCCCCTTCTCCAGTGAGATCAGATCTCAGCAAACATCAGGGGCAGGCCTTGAAGGAAAACTGTAAAGAAAAAGCAACAACAACGGACCTTATGGGTTGGTTAATCGTGCCTACCTGAACCTCACTGAGCCTGGAGCAGGCCCCACCTCATCCCGCCCCACCCCACTCTAACCTAGGAATGTATCGCTGACCCCAGTTACCCCTGTTCAGCACAGACACACCAGGGCTCTGTGTCCAAGCCAGGCCTTGGACATTTTCCTTGTAGTTCCTTAGGGAAACCCTCATCTGAACCCTCCAAGCTCCCAGTTTGACCCCTGCAGATAGATGAGAGGGGGAAATACATTTTTAGCCACGGGGGTGGTGGGGATTAACAGGCATTCCTCAGTGAAGCTCTTTTTATTTGGAAATGGGCAGTATCTTTTTTTTTTTTTTTTTAAGATTTTATTTATTTGACAGAGAGAGACACAGCGAGAGAGGGACACAAGCAGGGGGAGTGGGAGAGGCAGAGGGAGAAGCAGGCTTCCCATGGAGCAGGGAGTCCGATGCGGGGCTCAATCCCAGAACCCTGGGATCACGAGCTGAGCCGAAGGCAGATGCTTAACGACTGAGCCACCCAGGCACCCCAGAAGTGGGCAATATCTTATTTGCTGGCCCTTTTAAGATGCAGGCGGGTGATGGCCTGCAATGGGGGTGGGTCCAGGCCCCTGGAAAGAGTGGGCCTCCAGGGCTGGGCCAGCTGGGTTCTGTTCTTTCCAGTGGACCCTCTCTTGGGATGGGGGCTGCTTTCCCTGGCTGCCTTCTGCTCTGACCAGTTCTTGGCAACACAGAAAATCTCCAGACAGTACTCTGTCTGCTTCTTCCTTCCCAGCTCAGGGACAAGCCTTCTCTGATTTGTTACTTTTTAATAACTGTAGTTTCTTTCTTTCTTTTATTAACAGAAGAAATAATGCCCACAGATAAGCCAAAAGAATAAAATATAAATGACCCCTGATCCCATTATCCATGATACTCTCTGGTGTGTGTCCTTCCTGTTCTCTATTCATATAAACGGATTTTAAAAACAAGAATGGAGGGCGCCTGCGTGGCTCAGTTGGTTGGGCGACTGCCTTCGGCTCAGGTCATGATCCTGGAGACCCGGATCGAGTCCCGCATCGGTCTCCCTGCTCAGCAGGGAGTCTGCTTCTCCCTCTGACCCTCCCCCCTCTCATGCTCTCTCTATCTCATTCTCTCTCTCAAATAAATAAATAAAATCTTAAAAAAAAAACAAAACAAGAATGGATTAGGAGCACCTGTGTAGCTCTGTCTTTAGCAACCGACTCTTGATCTCAGCTCAGATCTCAATGTCGGGGTCGTGAGTTCAAGCCCCGTGTTGGGCTCCATTTTGGGTGTGGAGCCTACGTAAAAAAAAAAAAAAAAAAAAAAGGAATGGACTAATTTACTAAAAGTAGAGTTTGAGACTCAAAAGTAGGAACTCAAACCCAGCTTCAAGACCCAGAGGCTCCCTGGAATGACCCTGGGTAAGTTGCTTCATGAATGGGCCTCCCTTTTCTCATTTGTAAAAGGATTTTAACAGTAGTTACCTCCTAGGGTTGGTGTGAGGATTAAATGAGATTAAACACTGAGCCCTGCACACAGTAAGGACTCATAATGCTAACAACTGTGCTATAAACTCAGTAAATAACTTCCAAGCACTAAGGGGCTTTCTGCAGCACCTTGCAAACTGTGGCTCAGTATGCAACTACATTTGGGTATCTTATTTATTTCACTGAGCTTCTGTTGAAGAGTAAATTAATTCTAATTTTTCAGGATTATAAACAATGCTCTGATGCATATCCTTGCAGATAACTCTTTGCACACAGAGATTGCTTGCTTAGACTAAATTCCTATGAATGAAATTGCTAGATCAAAGAGGAGCTAAA